GGATTCTTTTGCTTGTCTGCAAGTAATTGTATTATCCCAATCATTCTGAGCTGCTCTTTCCAGCCATTCATTAGTTTTAAGCTTGAAAAAGCTCCACGAAGGACCGCAGAATAGTTGTGGCCCAATATAGTATGAGACCGCCCCTTTTCTCGCTAGTTCATCTGCTTTTTCGTTTCCCTCAAAACCGCTGTGCCCTGGAATACATTTTCCGTTAGAAAAATACTATTTTCCTGATGTTAGGAGACGACTTTAATTGACAATAACACAAAATATTGTTACATTTCACAAACCTTGTTTTCTCGGTACTAATATTAGTGCCCTACGTATCTTCAAACTATTACTGTATCTACGTGTTATCAGTGCCCTTCCTCATCTACATTATTAAAAGCTTGTTTTAAAGAAGCCTACTAAAATGAAATCTTTCAGTCTTATTCAACTAAAGTGGTACTAACTACTTCATAAAACATCTTCTTACCTGATATACAAGCCCATAAGTCTTTCTAGTGTTTTGAGGTGTCAAATCTATTTGCATAAAAGATATTTGATGCCTGCGGGTGGACATCTATATATATAGTCAGGATAAAGTTTGTAAGTGCTGTTCATGTTGAGATATAGGTGCTCCAAATATTACTTTTCGAAGCGTCAATGACTCGCTATTCGTCTCGCGATTTCCAAAAACTTTTTGCCAAATTTTTCTTTTTGTAGCCCTGATCCCAGTTCCCCTGTTTACAGCTACTTTGTACGTTATTTAAGCTTCCTGTACTTACATTTCAGTTACCTTAATTCGACTTCTCATAAAACAGTTCTAGACTTTACTCGTGATTTATTTATACAGCAGGCTGAATTCAAAATTTTTTTGAAACATCCATCATACGACTTACCAGTTTTGGAAATTTGTAGAGGGCAATTTGCAAAACAAGATTAAATTATTGAAAAGATTTGCACTGTAATTTTTTGGTCGAATGGCTCATAGACCAGTCAATGCTGTATTGCCGTGGGTATGTTCGTCGCTCGTGAATACTGTTAGCTTAAGTCTATCTGTGGAAATATGTAGTTATATTTTTGCCCCACAAGCTGACGTCATAACTGTTCTTGCTTTACTGCATTACCCAGTGAACATCGTCGATACACGTCAGAACATAATGCTTGCCATGCGAAACTGATACAGGTTCTACGATGTCTATGTGCGCATGCTGGAACCATACATTGACAGTTGTAATTCACCCACTATTCTGGATAAAGATTTGTTTAGGACTGTGCTCGACTGCGTCTTTTTGACAAAAGGCGTAAATTTAGCTGTTAATGAAGACTCAAATGTAACCGGCGAAATTGCTCTTCAATTCTTTTTTACCTACAGCAAAGTATGAACACGGCAGTTGAACTACTAGCCATATGTATACTAAAAATACCTTACATATGAGATTTTAGAAAATTTATGACTGCAGCCTAGCCTACAACGTTAAAATTGTTCACGGAGACTTTAAGGCAATGGTCGGAATAGAACCGACGGTCTAACGATCTGAAATCTGTGGTCCAACGGTCTGAAAACTCAGCCATCATAAATCTACCCCCAACAACGATATGTGGCTAATTGATTTCATTACGACACCAAATATGATAATATGTAGTACCAGATTCCCACACCGCGATATTCACAAGGAGATGCAGCTTTCTCCTCAACACAAAACCAGATTGATAATTTCGCAATTAACGCAAGACTTCTAGTGTGGTAGACATACGTTCGTTGAAATTACGAGATACAGCCAATTTCTTCGCCGCTTAAATCTCTAACCAATTAAATAATGAACAAGGTCCTTTCAACTGTACTGTGTGAAAGGTTAAAGCCACATGTCAACTCACTGAATGCGCTTCGACATGGTTGTTCCTCCATTGACCAAATATTCACACTGCCCCTGCAAATTTACTGCTATCGAAAATAAATCTGCAAAAATAGGCTTAGCGGTGAATAAGGGAAAAATTAAGTATAATTCGGCTACTGGTAGAAAAGTCAGTAGGTCGGACGCCAAGTTAATGACTGGCGACTATACTTTCAAATCTGTCAGGAATTTCATCTACCTTGGCACCGTCATGTCGAATAACAACGATGTCAGCCTTGAGGTCAGACGAAGAATCACTATTGCTAATAGGTGCTTTAATGGGCTCAGTAGGAAATTGGGATGTAGAGATGTACTGCTCTCTCTCAAAAACAAAACTTATGCTTATGGTGTAGACGCTGGTCAATAACAGAGAATGATGAAATGTTTTTCGACAGATATTTGATCTACGAGTTGGCGAACACCACATCATTCAAATAAACCACGAGCTGTACGACCTTCTCGACATTGTTATGGTAATTTGTAAAAGTCAAATTGGTTACAATTAAAAATGCTTGGCATTTTCGCTGAATATTATCTCTTACATGTTCAGCATTTTGTAAAGATCTGTGGAGATTATACTAAAAAATGGAACATTTATGTGAGGAACGTAATTGTAAAAATTTCAAAGGTGTATCTTATAATACTATACATTCCTTTTCAACAATGGTATAGAGTTTTTGATGGGCCTAACCCATCTACATATTTTGAAAAGACAGCATCTTTAAATACAACTAGGCTGCATTCTGTTACCAATATACACACATGTCTTGCTGGTTAAAATTCTATCTGTAAAATCAAAGTAATACTGAGGATACTGATGGATTCAAAACTAAGTAAGGAGTTATCGATCCCAACATCAGAAATCTGAATAACACACAAAAACAACATGGGTTCATCGAGGTTGTCAACCATACTTGTTCTTAATTTTTCCACTAAATTAAATAAAAAATGCGTAAACTAGACTGTGGCAAATTTTTATTTTCAAATATAAATACGATTTATTTTTCAATTTTGATGCGAACAAAATTTTGTAAGTGTAAGTGCAAAAAAAAAATTGATGAAAAAATATTGCCAAAGTCTAGCCAGTGTAGAAGCAACGTAAAAACTCGCTGATAGAGAAGTTGCTCGTTGGTATAAAACTAAAATAACATTTACAGTAAAAAAGTTGTCTATTAACTTAGATAAACACATTAGAGTTTAATTATTAGTATATTATATTATTAATTTCTGTAAAAATTGGCGATCCACATCGGAATTAAAATTTGATCAGAAATCATTCGATTTAGTTCGGTATTTTGCTTCCAAACAGCTTTATTAAATTTTTATCAGATTTAAAGTTTTATTCTTTTTTGATTTATATATGTAAAAAGTTTCTTTATATGTATATCAGAAGGTACTAATTAGAATAAAAGTGGCAATATATGAAATACATTATTTCTTGTAGATTTATAGTATTACTACAATAGATTCAAAGCTGTTGAAAGTCGTAAAAATACAGTTATATTGTTCAACAACCATAATAAATGTGCTTTTAATAAACAGTTGTCAAACGAAATGGTGTAACAGATGGACACACTTTTAAACGATTTTTTGCAAATGAAACACTTGTAAAGAAAAATTGCTGAACTTTGATTAGGTTAAGTTAGATACAGACAATAGTAGCTCTGTTCCACGAGCTACTTGTACTAAAACTCAAGTTAAATAAAAACTGAAATCGTTACACACATAAAATGCAAAATTACGCTCTTTACACAGCTTTTCATGAAACAGCTTTGTGTAAGGTCTGGTAAGAACACTAGTGCCGCGCAAATAAACAATACAAAAACAAAAATTTAAATTCAAACCAAAACAGCTGATTCATACATCACACAAATTTTACTTAAAATAAAATAGCATTTTCAAATTTCGCAGGGATGCTACCCTCTCTCAGATGCTCTCATTTATTTGAAAATTTGCTAGTGGAACGCACTTGTGTATACACAGTGTTACTCAAAGTTACTACAAGCAGCTTGTAGAACAAACCTAATATAAAAAATTCAAAAATTGAAATTACTTAAAAATTATTAATTGTGATAATAACTTACCCAAAACATTATTAAACTGTGTGACTTACTCATAAAGAAATATAAAATATTTGTTTAATTTTTCATGTGTGATATATACAGATTGCATTAGAAATTGAAAAATTAAGCAAATATTTAGTGTGTACTTTATTTTAATTATTTTACTTTATTTACTGTTTACTATCTATATTTTAGGTTGTGTGCGAGTTCAAGTAAATTGTTGGTAAATTGAGGGAATAGTAAATTATATTGGTATGGCAGCGAATGTTGGTATTTACCAGAATTTCGAATAGAATACATTAAATAAAAATTAGGCAAATTAGATGTTACCATTGTGAAAATTTTATAAGATGTTCAACAAATAAATTAGTTTGAAAACTTTTAAACAAAAATAATAAATAAGTTTAACAAATAAATATTTACATAGGCCGTATGTGAATTTGGGTAAATTGATGGTAAATTTAGTGAAATAGTATATTATGTCGGTATGGCAGCGAATGTCGGTATTTACCTGAATTTCAAGTAGGGTAAATTAAATAAAATTAGGAAAATTAGTTGTTACCATTGTGAAAATTTTATAAAATATTAAATAAATATATACATAAATTTAAAAATTTTTAACCTAAAATAATAAATAAGTACAATAAATATATAAATAAATATTTATATAAATGCAGTGAAAAAATTTCAATTTACTTGTACTTTGGCGTCACTGTTTTTCTTATGTTAGAAACTGTCAGCTGATTGTTTGAGGTACATCTCATTTCAGTCAGTATGTTCGAAAATTATGAATACATTTACAAATAAAAATGTAAATATTCAAAAGTCTATTTTTTGAATGCATATTGAAGTTGATAAAAATAAATATTTAATAGCGTGAAGTTTTTTTAATGGTATCAATTTTTTTTGATCTTATAAAATTTAACCAGAGATAACACACCTGTTTTGCAGTTTTTTGACATATGATTGAGTAAATCGAATATTAATGTGACTAGGTGGCAGCACAATTTCGTATAGAAATATGTGGTAGAGAGTTACTGTGTCTCTTTTCAACTTTTCTTTTGTTGAAATTGCTTTTGCATTCCGTCAAACGCCATGGAAGTGTTCGGGCCCGAGTTTCAGTAGATTTTGGTTTCAATTTTTGTTGTAAAATAGGAGTGAATTTCTAATTCATACAAAACTTTTCTAGCGATATCTAGAATTAAAGTTTTTGCATGCAAGTGACGAAAAGTGTACCATTTATATAGGCAGCTATATTTTTAAGTTTCTGTATAAAATTTATGATCATTTTGTTGAAATTAATGGAGTTAATTGAAAGTGGAAATCGTGATGTCATTACTTCGTATTGTTTTTTGTTAATTTGTTGTAAATTGTTTCCTGCTCGCTCGATATACGCGCTTTTATTTGATTTAGTTGGATAAATGGAATCATTCTTACTGTTAAATATAATTCAATAATCTGCCAGTCGTTTTCGAAGTAAGTTGGATTGAAGTTGTGACGAAAATCCAATTTTCATTCTGCTTCCGAAAATTGCAGAACGAGTCTACCAAACGAATTAGCATAAAGCAAATGAATGCTGATGGAATCAAATGAATAAAATAAAAAAACAAGAAATTAATAAAATAAATTTACGTCCAAATAAAATTTATACAAAAAGTGAAATTTGAGTTTTTTCAAAAATATTTATGAAATAAACGGAATTTATTATTGTGAGCAAAGGTAAATGAATTTCCCTCCAAACGCAACGACAAATACATTTGGTTAAGTGCATAAATCAATTCCGCCCACAACAACCTGCCACGCCCTTAACACAAGTAAAAGCGTCACGTGAGCGTACGACCGTTCAAACGTCCATCCGCATATTCGCTTTGTTTTATATTATTATCTTTTAAAAATCATCATATCCCAATACCTGACACTAACTCATATCTACAATGTCCACCACTGGTACTACCACCGCATCCCCAGAAGGCAACGATGCTATTGGTAAAACAATTGATGAACTGCGCATGGAGGTGGAACGTCTCTCGCGAGAACTTGATCAAGCAACTAGTGAACGTGCCCAGTCGGCTCAATACGGCTTGTCACTACTGGAGGAAAAATCCACACTACAACTCAAATGCGAGGAGTTAGAAACATTGTATGACAATGCAAAGCACGAATTGGAAATTACTCAAGAGGTAAGAATTCAGCAAATTAGTTTCTAATACAACTCTTATTGATAAACAATAGGTATATAATTGGTTTCTGACTTTAAGACACCTATGAGGATTTAAAATCCTAATGAGATAAACGGGATCCTTTTTCATTTTTTATAAAATATATTTTACTCCAATTTCAAATATGTGAGTTTATTAAATTTATTTTAATTTAAATTAATTATGTAAATACTTATTACTTTTATTTTCCAGTTTATAAGTACCGATATTCCAACTAATGTTTGAATATAGTAAAGTTTCAATATATCTAAGATTCATATGCTGTTGAGGTGATGATCATAAGATTTCAAAAGGCAACACTTACCTTTATTCCTTGTAAAATTGACAAGGACAATTTATTTTTACATAACAACAAAAAAAAAAATAAGAGATGTCCACAAGTAATAGGTTTACATAGTATTAGATGTTATTTGAATTTTTCAGGTACCAAATTGTACCTAAATATGTATGTAGTACTATTAGTTTATATTACTGCTATGAGATATTATTAACTAGTTTTACTCATTTCGATAGTGAAATGATTTACAAAAGGTATGTATCTGAAACTTATCTATTCCAAAATTATGGCGATCAGTTTGAAACACAAATAAATAGAAGAAATATTTATTATAATACTTCTATTATTCGATTCTTACAGTCAAGATTTTTTAAATTATATATACTTCATGTATGTTAATTTAAAGTAAAAATTATATAACTCTACTCGTATATATAATGATATATACGTACAGGTCACGAGTTTAACCCTTGCTACTTACAGTCTCAAAAAATTATTTACGAATAATTAAAAATAAGAAATAATTCCAAGACCACTGATGATGTGTATTTGGCAGTACTCGACATAGCTGTATGGTCAGCCAAAAATTCAATTAATTAATAAAATAATAAAAAAATTCGTTGTTGTAATTGAATACTATTCGAAATACCTCTCTATTGAAAACAATACTTTATAATAAGAATTTAGTTTCTTTCTTTCTATGTTATATGTACTTTTATGCAATCTCCGATATATTCTATTATCATATTAACAAACAAATCCATCCTTTGTGTATATATGAAATGAGTGATAAAGCTTAACAGATAGATTTAAATTAAATCTTATATATTATATATATTATTACATGTATATTAGGTATATTATATTCTTATATTGATTTTTATTTAGAACAAAAATTAACTACTGATAAGTTTAAGACCAAATAAAATTAGTTTTTTAATCTCTAATACCAAGTTTGGAATTAGTTCATCCTTTAAAATAATACTGTTTGCCTGTAATTCATCTTGGAAGTCTAGACCTAATTAAAATAAACAATTTATAAAGAGTTTCAATAGAAACATTATTCACTCAAAGTAAATATTTATTCACAAATGTTTACTTTGTTTATAGTTCCTAATTATTTTCTACAAATCGGCGGTCCAGAGTTTAAACACATTTTAAATAGTATATATATTTATTTCTACATTTATTTTATATATGTAAACCAAAATTTTGTTATTAACTGTAGTGTAGCTGTAGTCAAGCATTAGTAATCTAAGTGAATAGAGATCCAGAAGATTTTCAATGGTAATAGAGTTATCCAACTACGTTTAAGATAGTTTTATCATTGATAACATATTGATAACATATTATATGTAAATAATGTTAAGATGTGATTAATTTTTAATTGAGGCACCCATAATGAATGAACCCTATACTTTTCCAAAATGCCTAACAATAGTATAGACAAATCGGAAATGATTAAATATTTAATAGTTTACAAATATATTCTTCCAAAGTTCATAGTAAAGTTCGTATTGTAAATTTTAAATATGAAGCTTTTTTGGTAATTGAGTTGGTGATGCAACAATTATAAATAATAACGACACAAACGATGTGTCAGTGCTAATCGATTTTACTTGGTTTTAGTTTTTTAACTTTTTTAAATTCTTATTACAATTTGTGTAGTATTCATATAATCAACTGATTGATAACTGTTTCAACTATTTCATGCTGGTATATTTGTATAGGTCAGAAAGTGTGATATTTATTTCTGCACATGTATATGCATTAATCCTTAAGTTGTTTCAGAGAAGTATAATAACATAAGCTATTATATTATTAACATTTAATAACCACGCAAATTAGAACTTCATATTCATTTTTGTAGTGTCATCGTTCACTTTATGACCAACATTTTTTTCGTCTAGCGATTCTTGAAAATTGTATCCACTCAAGCTATATATTGAAAAGTACAGCTGGAGATGGTTAGTCCCTTGTCAAATGTCCTCCGTTATGTGTTATTTCGTTTTCAATTCTCAAATCAAGAATCAAAAATACATTCTAATTCCTCTTCTTCAATAGCTATTCTAATATTTTCTATCACTTTTGTAAGTAGAATATTGTTAAATGGATTTTCAAACACCCTAAGCATATACAGGTATCCTTTTGGACGTGTTTACAATTTTAAAATAAAATTTGCAAGCTGAACAAATGGGTGCGTCCCACGATTATTTACATTTAGGCAATAAGCGATTATAAAAAACTTTTTAACATATTTATTTTAAACCATGACTCATCAGGCCAATCGCTCGGGTAGGGGTTATATCATGTAGACTGTCGTATTGCAAATGTGGCCACAGCAGTATTGCGCTCGTTCTATTCATGCCAAAGCTAATATGTTATGCATACAGTTAAATCACATTCCCAATTTTATACTGTCAGTCACTATTTTTTATTGTGCCTTAATTTAAAAGGTAACATTTTTGTGCAGCACTATCAGCAGATACATATCTGCTACTAACAGACACAACTTCTGCCATTTATTAATTAGTGACAATATTTTAACGCTGTGTAAAAAGCCTTGTCACCTTGACCAAATTATAACTGAACTTTTTTTTTGCTCTCACAATTCTAATTAGTAGTTCATAACAACAATAATTTCACATTTCACATTTGATGTGACCATGACTGTCTACATAACATGGCACCATCTCTGAGCCTAGTAAATCTTATCTACTATGTTAATAAAATTAGATAAATCCATATTTCAAATTTTTTTTTTTATGTTATAGGCACTCACAAAATTTCAAACTTCACAAAAAGTTACAACAAAAACTGGCATTGAACAAGAGGAAACGCTTTTGAATGAGTCAGCTGCGCTAGAGACATCACTCAATTCGCACATATTTGATTTGGAAAATGAAGTAAGACAATTGAGACATGAATTGGAACGGGTTCGGAATGAGCGCGATCGCATGTTACAAGAGAATTCTGATATTGGACGTGATAAATCTGATAATGAAGCGGAAAAACTTCGTCTCAAAGCGGAACTTAAAGATCTAAAATTTCGCGAGACCCGTATGCTTACAGAGTACTCTGAACTGGAAGAGGAAAACATATCATTGCAAAAGCAAGTGTCAAGTCTGAAAAGTTCTCAGGTGAGTTTAATATTACCCAATATTGATTTTTAATAACATTTTTTAATTTTAATGTTTAATTTAGAAAAACAAATCATATTTATCTTCCATACACAAAATCAAGAAGAAATTTTTAAATTAAATCCTTTATTTTAGGTTGAATTTGAAGGTGCCAAACATGAAATCCGACGTCTGACGGAAGAAGTCGAACTCTTAAATTCCCAAGTTGATGAATTGGGAAACTTGAAGAAAATAGCTGAAAAGCAAATGGAAGAAGCTCTGGAAGCATTACAAGTAAGTGTTCATATTGGCATACTGTAATGATTTTTAATATATTGTCATATATCTTTTTGAAAGGGTGAACGCGAATCCAAATATGCATTGAAGAAAGAATTAGATAATCATCTAAATCGCGAATCTATGTATCATATAAGTAATTTAGCTTATAGCATTCGCAGTAATATGGAAGATAATACTAGTACTAATAGTGATGGTGAGGAGGACAATCTTGCACTTAAACGTCTCGAGGCAGATATAACAACCGAACTTAAGTCCCCAGATGGTACTAAGTGTGATTTGTTCTCAGAAATTCATTTGAATGAATTAAAGAAACTAGAGAAGCAATTAGAGTCTATGGAAAATGAGAAAATACATTTAACGGCGAATTTGCGTGATGCTCAAGTGAATTTAGATAAATCACAAAATGAATTACAAAACTTCATGGCAAGGTTAGCATTGTTAGCTGCACATGTAGATGCTTTAATACAACTTAAAAAGCAAGTTAATGTTAAGGATAAAACTTATAATGATAATGCCAATGAGGAAAACCTGACACAACAGTTACAAGAAACTGTTGGACAATATTTAAATTGGTTTACATTATCTGCCAAAGAGATTGATGGTCTAAAGACTGATTTGGTTGAGTTACAAACTGGGCTCAATTACACAGATGCAATGACTTCATTGCGTAATGAAATAACCAATTTAAAGAATAAATTACTTGCAACAGAACAGAAATCACTGGATCTAAAGAGCGATGTTAAGACATTAACAAGCATTTCACAAAATGCTGGCCAGAGTTTGAGCTCCGCACGTTCCACATTGGTCGCTCTAAGTGATGATTTGGCGCAACTTTATCATCTTGTTTGCACAGTCAACGGAGAAGTTCCAAGTCGTGTCTTGCTTGATCATAAGAATGATGATATGAGGTGAGTTGATAGCTTTGTCGATAAAACAAATCAAATATATTTTAATTTTTAATATTTTTAATTTCAATAATATTTTTAATTTTCAAGCTTCGATAACGATTCCTTGAGTACCATACAATCACAATTCAAATCAGACGTTTTCATATCCCGCTCTCAAATTGTTGAAGATTTACAAGGTCTGGCAGACTCGGTTGAGATCAAAAAATACGTTGATACGGTCAGTGATCAAATTAAGCATTTGAAAACTGCTGTCGAACATTGTATTGAACTTAATAAAAATAAAGTTCGAGGAGATATTAGTGAAGGTAGTTTAAACTTCGAACTTAAAATGTTTTTGCAAAAAATATTGATTTTGTTTTATTTTTAGCTGATAAATTCAATCGTGAAGAAGTGGAAGAACTTCAAGAGCAAATTATTAAACTTAAGAGTCTTTTGTCTATTAAACGAGAACAAATTGCTACACTTCGTACAGTTCTTAAATCAAATAAACAAACAGCAGAAGTTGCACTCACAAATCTCAAATCAAAATATGAAAATGAAAAAACGGTTGTGAGTGAAACGATGTCCAAATTAAGAAATGAGTTGAAGATTCTAAAAGAAGATGCAGCTACTTTCTCAAGTAAAAATATCTTTATTTGAAAAGAAAACAATAATTGATTATGTTTTATTTAACAGGTCATCGTGCTATGTTCGTAGCACGTTGCGAGGAAAATGTAAGTCAGGTTGATGATCTTAAACGTCAACTTCAGGCCGCAGAAGAGGAAAAGAAAACTTTAAATCAGTTACTAAGGCTTGCAGTGCAACAAAAACTAGCGTTAACACAACGCTTAGAAGAAATGGAAATGGATCGGTGGGTTTACCTACGTCGATAAATGTTATACATTGATTATAGAAAAATGTGTATTTTATAAATCAATTGTTTCCTTTTGGTTATATATCATATATATATATATAGCTTATAATTTAATTCTGAGCACCATTTCGATACTTTAAATTACTAATATTTAAAGTTTTTTAAACACGATACTTTTCCTAGTTTATCCTGAATACCAAATTTTTTACAGTTAATGAGAATGTCGTCCATTTTTCTTTTAATTGGTAAGAATAATCAACAGTTTGCTATTGTGCTACTTTTTTGCCCTCGATTTTGGACTGTGCTAAAATTAAATTTTATTAGGATATAATATTGTTGAAAATTTAACATAACATAATTATTTTTTTTTTACGCAAATGTGCGATTATCTATCTTAAAATGGAAAAAACAAAATTTTTCTTATATGTTACCATGCTTGTTATTAATGCTTAGAAATAACACTGTTATACTATTGCTGTGATATATTACTAAAACGCGTTTGCTGCTAATGATTAACATATTATATTTTAAAGAAAAGCAATGGTCTAATATTCATTGCTATATGCTTAATTTAGTATTAAATAAACAGCACAACTTTATAGGCTTTTTTATATTGTTATCTCGTAAACATTTACTTAATATTTTATCACTGTTGCTTATCAAGAAACTTTAACAAAAAGAACAATTGAATATAATAACTTTGTATAATTTAATACAAAATAGATGTAGCTATGCGATAGTCAATTTTAAATTCATAGTCTTCTAAAATGATGTTTGCTGAGTATTATTTTTATATCATTCTAGTTAATGTTCTTCTCCTTATTTGAAATTCTTAAATTTAACCTCATCACAAAATGGGTTGCTTAAGTGTTGCTTAGATTAAAAAAAATACTGTACACAGCAAAAAAAAACATCTACTTAATATTTCTCATAATTATAAATTTTTGGTTCCAATAACAGTTGAATCAACGTCCCTTATCCACTTATTGTTTCAGACAAAGAAGTGCTCTTGTCAGCTCTTCAAAAAAAAAGGAACAAAAACAACAAGTATCTTCGAGTTACAGCAACAATAAATAAACACTTCAAATTAACAAAAAAAGAAAATAAGTGAATCACTGCTTGATATTATTTCAGTTCGTAATTCCCCGCTTCGTTAACCGAAGTATCGAACCAGAAAATATTCATTGCGGTTCAACAAAACATAATAATATATCAGTTTGGTTCCGCTTTTTTGCTTCGGCAAAAATATTGATTTTCTGTTTAGTTCCAAAAAAATTATATTTTTATTTATTTATAAAATAATTTCTTTGCTATGATTAAAATTATATTAATTTTTTCAATGGTTCTTAAAAAAGTCTTTTTGTCTATTGGTTAATTTAAGGAAAGATCTTTCTTTAAGAGAGAAGAGTGGAAATTCAGGGAAGGATAGCCGTATTTACCCGAGTTCAACAGATCTAAATTAATCCATTTTAGCCTATTGGGTATTAAAATACTCAAACATACAACATAAAAATAGAACAATATAGAACAATACAGTCTTGTACATCAAGTCTGGTCCATGCACCCTTAACTTGATTATTCACCAGAGATACCTTTACGCCTCCGTTCTCCAACTACCGTTTCGAATACCATTTTTCCTGTAACGTTTTCATCCACTCTCACGACATGATCGAGCCAACGAAGTCACTGCATGTTAATTCACAAAATTATATCAATGTCTCAAAGCTTGTACAACTCGTGGATCATTTGAATGCGGTTGTTGTTGTAACCCGCAGGGATCTACTTGTAAAGTGCTTTTGGGAGGTATCGAAGGGCACTTGGATGTCGGCTGGCGACGAGTAGTTTCGAGATGTAAACTCGGCCGTTCTTTAAATGCGGTAGTCTTCGACAACTCATAGAGAACTAAAGATCTTGTGAAGCAATTTTCCCTCGAAAACTCTCAGTGCTTCTTAATCACTTTTCCGTGGAAAACTTTCAGTGTTTCTTCAACACTTTTTGATAACACCCATGCTTCTGCGATGCTTTTCCGTTTATGTATGTAGAATATACGTTATAGAGCATAATTAAAATATTTAGTTTTAAAATATGAAAAGACTGTTAATTTCTAGAGCAATATGTTTGGCTGCTCTTTAAGTTTTTTCGCAGCAGTATTGTGTGTATGTGCGTGTGTATATTTTAAAATGTTTTTTTTGTATATATATATATATATGCATTTAATAATCTTATATATTTTACAGTGAAATGCGACATGTGCGTCGCCCGGCGGCTCCACAACGTGGTGCAAGTGGAAAATCATCATTTTCATCACGTCCATCAACACGAAATTCGGCGAGCAATAGCCAAAACCCCTTCTAACATAAGATCAGCGTTCAGCGTAAGCTCTTGGCTTTAGTCTACACTTTACTCAAACTATAAAGAATCGACTAAAGTTTTAAAGTCGATCGAAAATCTGTTTTGTGTATATTTTAAAGTTGAATTGGTTCCAATTGGTTTGTTCAATATATCTTACATATTTTTTATGCAAGGCTTGGTAGTTTTGGTAGCTATATGAGCTAGTCTAAAAATATATATATATAATATAAATATAACAAAAGGCAGTCAGGGAAATACTGTTTGCATTGCATGATTTATATGTTACAATGATGGCAGCTCACGTAAGAAATTTAACAATTACTTGTATAATTTATGCATTGAATACTGAATTGAATTTCTTGATTATGTTTTATTATTATATTAACTATTTTCAACTTAAAGTATGCAAAACAATGGTACTGTTCGCTAATATCTATATAAAAATGCTATTTATTTTACATTTTTAAACTATTTATAATATTTATAAAAAAAAAAACAAAATGTATTAAATGTACGCTTACAGTCGATTAACGATTCACTTGACCTCAAAATTTGTTATGCGAGGTTAAATCCCCTCCCTTAAATATGAAAAGTCAATGGGGAATTCTTCAACTTACTGTGAAATCGCTAGTCTGATGAGTCAATGCAATAGTAAAACTAATTGTTATGATAAACGGTTTGTTACTTAAACGTCCATTTAATGTAATTAAAAATAATTTTTACTATACTTTAATAAAACTAATTGGAAATTTATAGAAAACATTGTTGAAACACCGACCATTTTAAAAGATGTTAGTATGAGGAAATAATATCTCTTTATACTGATTTTGTTAACTAATGTTGTAGTTTATCAAAATTCAATTTAGATTTCTCTTATTAAATTGATTTGATTAATTTGATTGTGAAACTTTTTTAAATTCTTATTTTTGATAAATGTCTTGTATTTTTATTTTTGTATAAATCTGTTTAAAAAAAAAACAAAACTTATATGCAAAATTTATAAAAGTATTAGAAATCTAAAGTGAATTTCTATTATTGTAATATATTTCACATAAAAACTAAAAGTAAAACTAAAAACATTTTTTTACGTTAAATATAAAATTTGTTTATTATACTTCAAGTCAAAAATTAGCATGTAATGTGTGATGTAATAAATACAATAAATATTTTGATTATTTGAAATGTATTCTTAAAGTTAAAGTCAAAATTTGTATATGATCAGATGAAACGAAACGTATGCAATATTTAAAATAAAACGTTATAAAAACTAGTGAAAATTTACATATTGTAATTTGTTGAAAATTAGCAACCATATTTTATGAAACTTATTTATAAAATATAAATTAATTAGCTTAAAAAAGCAAATATTTTATTTAAAAAGACACAATGATAAGCAAAAAGAATATATAAAGTTTTTGAATTGAACAGATGTGTATATTTCGCAGTTGAGCACTTAACATAATATGTTAAAGTCCAGTTTTTAGCAGGAACCGAAAATAACAGTTATTTCAAAAAATGTTTAAGAAAAAAAAGCAAAAGTTGTCTAAACTCATATTTAAGCATATAGTTATCATTCTAACAACTTTCATCCTTAATATTATGCATGCTTTTTATATATGAGCGTTTTAAAATAAAACTCTAAAAATAATAATATTATTATTATTATTCATCAAAAATAACTCTTACACTCTGCTTTTATTGAAAAATGCATTTTATTTTTTCCTTTTTAAAAATATTCGGCAGACCAGTGTAAGTTATATTTTCTTTTCAAAAATAAAAGTTATTCATTATTTTTATATTTAAAAAGCACAAATAACTGTTATTTTTACCTTTTAAACATAAAAATCAGAAATAACTCTTATTTTTGAAAATAAAATATAACAAGGTAGTAAAATATAATATATATTTTTCATACAAAGTAGTTGTTGTTGTAATTTCAAACAAAATATATTAAAGAGTTGATGCAGATAAAAATTTAGTTGAGTTTTTTGTTTTTATACACAAAACAATATAAAAATATATTATGTATATATATTGACTTATGTTTTGTTTTCAAAAATAAAAATTATTCTTGATTTTTATATTTTTGGGACAACAATAACAGTTATTTGTGCGTTTTAAAATAAAAATCAAAGTGTAGAAGTTATTTGCACGTGAAAAAATAAAAGGCATATGATAAAAAGCAAAAATAATTATTATTTTTTAAGTTTTATTTTAAAATACGAATGATAACAATTATAAGGTGGTTTTTATTTTTTTTTTTAATGATAACTGTTTCTTCCTGCTTCTTAGACGTTGACAAAATAGGTTCCCGTACATTTTCCATTAAAAAATTTTAAAAGAGAGCAAAAAATTAAATACTTTACAATGACGAGAAATGTTCTCAATTACTGATAAATGTGCGCTAACGCAAAAATTAGTAAAAACTTGTGACATAAGAAAAAACACAAAATATTTGTTAATTCAAAATTTTAAATTAAAATTATTAATCTATAATTTAAATAGGCTAAGATATATTAGTTGAATATCTTTTAAACTGTCTTAAACACAACATATACGCTTACTTATTTTTTATTTAAACAGTTGTGAATTGTAGCCATACTGAACGTAATTTTTTTTTTCACTGTTTTGTGACTAAGACAGGTAAAAACCAGGTTAAAGTCTTCATTAATCTAAATGCTAAAGCAAACATCACACATACTTAGTTTTGTATGCATTCTTCAATTAAAAGTGAGAATTTATTCTGACATGTTGTACTTTTGCTCTATTCCATTTTGTTGACTTTATAGCAGAATTTTTGCCAGTGAATTTTGTAATAGCATTATTGTTAATATTGCTATTACTCTTTGTTTTGTTAAAGTAAAATGGCACACGCAAAATCGTCAATATTTGGCGTAATTTTTTCTTTCAGAGTAACAAAAAAATACTCACAACATGTGATGTGAAAATCTTCAGAGTTAGGTTTTACTCGTAAAAAATTTTAAGTCTTAAGTTTTAGTGCAGCCAAATTCAAAAATCATTCTATTGTGAATGTTTACTGGAAACATATTGTAAAATTCCAGTCATCCGTTAAAATCATATGAGCAGAAATAATAACAAATTGCAATATATCAAAGCAATAAGATAAAAAATGCTTACCATTCCACTTCTAACAAAGGTATGTATTCTTAACGTTCAGTACTTTAATAGTACAATTGTAACTTTCTATGAATTAATTGACCAATTTAAAGTTGTGAAACTTCTTGGGACCGTGTTTGCTTAGTTCACATCAAATAATGTCTCAATCGAATTCGGATAGAGTTCAATTAAAGTTTTTTCAGTCCAGTACATAATAGAGTACGAAAAAAAAAGAACTTCAAAAATTGAGTCGTAGGATCAAGAAGATTCGCTATCGCTTACTAGTAGTTAGATCCGAGAAATAATCAAGGTTCAATCAATTTCAATTACTGGTCACTATTTCAACTAAATACAGTAAATAACTCAAAAAGGGTTTTAAATTAATACAGTGGTCTTCTTTATTTTCATTTTTTTAACCTAATCTCACATAACATGCATTTATTACCAGTTTTTACTAGTTTTTGTCGTACGGGAATGCAAGACCATTAAGAGTTACCACCAAAAAATTACGTACGTCGATAGCCAGTAATGTCATTTTTATCAAAAAGGTTTTAATAAAGTTGAAAAAATTTTTAGTATATTAAAAAGTTAGAAATTTTAAGTCTTGTTTCTGATATTTTATTCAAATTTAATATTACGAATTGTTAGCAATTATTACAAACGATGTAACGATGTAATCGTATACAGACAAAAACTGTTGAGCTTTCGGTATCGTTCTCTAAACCTTGTATGCATTGTAACTAGGTCCTTAACCGGTTTCCATCTCAGATTTTTTTCCATCATCTCAGAACTTTTTTGTCAAACAATCACTGTTACGGCCTGGTCAGAATAATGTTAATATTAAGCACAGTTATCACGATTAATTCATGTATTCCTGCTTTTTCCTCCAACTTCACCTCCAACATTCATGATTCTACTCATCTTTTAAATTATCTCAGAGTAAACATAAACTAAGATGTTTATGTTTACATTCAGAAGAGATGTTTACTCTCTAATGGGGTGACGAAAATCTTACTTAAAGTCTATTCGAAGCAATGTTTTATAACAAAAAAGGGCCTATGTGAGAATAAACCCCTCCTAAATTGCAAATTTGAATGCGACGTCCTTTCTGAAATGATGGAATAATAAATATTTAAGCAAAACTTAAATAATACTTAAGTACTGCTACTGTACTTACGAACTTAAATAGATATAGTAATTTTTTTCATTGATTTATTTACATATTATTTATTTATTTTTATTTAATTTGTTTATTTATATTCTTTATATTTAGCTATATTATATATATATAAATATTTTTATATTTTATTTATTGTTTATTATTTATATTATATTTATTTGTTTATATTTTATGAACAATCTATATTTTATTTATTTATATTGAAAATTAAAAATATAACTTTTTTAACTTTCGATCCAGCGTTAAGACCTTTGTTATTTCAAGGTTAGTTCTCGATAAGCTCAATATACTATCAATATTTATTTGTACATAAATGTGAAAATTTTCACAATCCCTCTCGTATATTGTTCTTTGATTATTTCCTCCATCACCACTCTATATGTGAGGGTCAATCACACATATTAGGCTGGGTATGCTTTCGTCGTGACCCAGCGACAAGTTACAACCGCAATAAAAATCTGTTTTTAAAGATAATAAAAAATAAAAACCTGACGAAAACAACACTTCTTTTGACAAACATACTGTATTAGGAGTATATGACAAAATCCAATTTCGACTGCTTTTAATTTAGAGCTTGCATAAGCACATCCATTTTTACTTCGGGAATCAAAAGTAGATACAATTGAATATATATATCACCTATATATTTAGTGGACTCTAACCTGATTATATATACAAAAAGCGCTATTTATGCTTATGAAATAGTAGCGATAAACCAAGGCGTTATATTCTCAATAAATAGTCGCAGAGAAGTAACCACATAGTACATAGAGAAATGTCTTAACTGAACCAATGGTGAAAAGAAATAATACAATTCATCATCCGTTCACATTAAAATTGATCAAATAAAGAAACTTAATATTTTCCTAGCTATAAAAATTTTTAATAAGGGAAGAAGTATTCAACTTTGCAAACTTTTTAAGAAAAATATTTTGAACGATTATTTATTCGAATATTAAAATGGTTTGCTTAATCTGGAATCGAGAGAAAAAAGTGGAATATGAACTCTTAGAAAACACACATTTTTATAAATATCGTCGTTAATATACTCAAATATTAAAAAAATCTATATCTTGATATGTGTCCTAAAAAATTTTTTTTGGGTTTACATCTGCACTTCTGTTCTGAGAACTGAGGCACAGAAAGCCAAAATTTTATAAAGACAGTCATATGATAGAGAAGTGATATGAATGGGAAAAAGATCCTAAAAAACTGAGGGCTGACAAAGTATACAAAACAAACTCCTTATAACTATAGCACTTTTATAAATATGGGAATAAACATATATATATATATATATTTATATGAGAGGTGTACGATTTTTTTTTCCATTTAAGTAGATGAGAAAGTGTGCGAAATTTGTTTTTTTTTTTTTATTTTAAATGAGATTTGCGGGTATAAACTAATATATTATGAGAATCGACAAAATCAAACTTTGCACTTACTTTGGGACGAGTTCTTGACTGGTAGAACGTGACATAAATTACACCTTGAAGAGACGCGCCATCTGTTGAAGTTAAATCAAAAACTAATTCAAATATGCATAATTATTATAAAAGTAGTACTGCATTTTATCAAATAATCAGAAAATATTGTTAATTATAGTAGTAACTTAAAATAGTGGAATTAATTATATTTATTTACTTCAAGAATATAAAGTAGTTGATTACTATATAAATTATCAAACTTTCTATATAAGTTGCAACTTTTAATTAATTATTTTCAATTTCAACAAAAATGAGAATGAAATCTCAATTTAAATTTAAGATTACAAATATAAAACACAATTTATACCGAGCCATCAAAAAATTAATACTTCGTAATTACTAATCTACACAAACCGATATATTCCCATATGAAAGAAAAAGCATTAATACTGTATCTTTACAAACATGAGAATATCTTATTTAACCTGTATACTTATAAGTAAGAAAACATATTTATAGAAACATATATATAAGTTTTTTATAAGAACTAAAACATAAAAGATAATTTAAACCAAAGTTAAAAATAAAAACAATAGCATATATGTAAATAATAACTTCTAGAGGATTAAAGTGAAGGAAAGACAGATTGAACTAATTTAATTACAATCCAAAAATATTAATATACCCATAAAAATATTGTAGAGCTTCTAAAAAATAATTGGTATACATTAACCATTATCATATATTATAAATGATTTTATTGTAATTTTTACCGTCCCTTTTAAATAATTACTAAATTGTTTTTGTGTACTTTGCTGGCCTAAAATAAAATCGTAACAAAAAATTTGTAATATATATAAAATTAATTTACTCAAATTGAATTTATTAAGTGCTAATATAACTCTATAAATAGCATAGAGCCAGAGTGTATGATCTTATGCCAAGTGACTTTAAGTCATCCTCATCTTACGTTGCCCTGAGGATGCCAGTCAAGGGTAGGTTAGCATTTTCCATTATATGACTTCGTTAATGTCTGTCCAACTTATCTCTATTTATGAGGAATATTCATGCTGGGCACCCTATTAATGTTACACCGCTGTAATCCTGATCACAGATCTGAATTAATGATCGTGTTTGATCGTCAATTCTCCGCCCGCGTATCCGCGATCAGCCAGGTCTTACTCGGAGAAAAGCACGGATAACTTTGTAGTTGTTAAAGGAAAATCACAAGTCCAAATATTACTGAATGGCATAAACGATGATTTACATTGCGGCAATATTGTTTTTGCACCACCGCCTGTAGTTGTGACGCTGTAGAGGCATTAGTTGAACAAGGTCATTGTTAATTACATGAGTCTTTTAAGCCCTTCGTTTTTTAATTTATTTCAAGAGCATGTGTTAATGTTTCTTTAACCAAATCGTTAAGTTTCTCCTACATATTGTGATGCTACTAAAACAGTAAACAAACTTTAACTAATCCAGATCTTTAAGGAATACATAAAATATTTCCGATTTCTCCAATCTACGATGACATAAAGAATTTTATTGAAGACAATCAAAAGTAGATTTTGTGAAAACGGACAATCCTCACAGACTCTAGATTGCTTAGAAAGATGGTTAGGTAGACGTTTTTCATGGGGAGTTCTACATTTATGTCTTTATCAGATTAATAAAATATAATTTAGAGTAGAATTTAATGTAATTTAGAAGTCATAAGTTATATACTTCAAAAAGACCTACATATGAGACTTTCTCTTACCGGTATGAGTGTCGAGGATGTTAATGAAATATTGAGTTTTTTTTGGCATTAAACTATAGATGTGGTTCCATTCGGACCGTGCTTCAAGCCAACAGAAACACTGTTTTGTTGCACTAAATCATGATGAGTTTTTACAAACAAGCCATCAAAAGTGACCTCAAAGGGGTAAAGTATATATTCTATGTTTTACCATGGTGGACATTTGAATAATGTTATCTTTTACAAATTCTGTAAGATTATGGCAATATCTAAACAATGTATTGAAATAATTAAATGTGTGTTTAAATAAAGTTTACTTTTAAAAGCACAAAATAAGTAATCCTGTACTTATGCTTTCTATAAACATATACTGACGTCCTCATTAAGTTGTCATTCACTGCAAATTTACAGAAATAATATCTAGTCATTTTCTTATTTAACATCACTTTTGACAATTATGGATTTGACGTTGTGAAAGACTTTGTTTTTTTTTTGGGAATCACCGTTTACAGCAAAAATGACGTCAGGCTAGAGATCCAACAAAGAATCACTATTGTCAACAGATGTTACTTCGGGCTAAGTAAACAATTAAGAAACAATAACAATAATTTCGCTTTACAAATCTCTTATCATGCCTGTCCTGGTATATGGTACAGAATTTGGGCCATAACCAACAGTGATGAGAAGACGTTAGTAGCTTTGGAGAGAAAAATTCTGTGGAAGATCTATGGTTGCTTACGCGTTGGCAACTAGTATCGAATAAGATAGAACCATGACCTGCATGAGCTATACCGCAACATTGACATAGTTAAGCCCATAAAAATTCAGCAACTTTGCTGGTTTGATCATGTCATGATAATGGAAGAAACTGTTTAGGCTAGAAAGGTGTTTGAATCGATACCCACAGGTGGAAAACGTGGTAGAGTTCGTCTGTATCTTCAGTGAAAAATGTGACGACAGCAATATAGCATCTATCATAAATAAATAAATGATCATTTTAAAAAGTGGTTGACTAGAACATGTAACAATTTTATTTAAAAAACAATAAGTTTTAGATAGTGTCTCAAACAAATCTTATAATATAATACATTTTAAATTGATGGCATAACTGGTGCAAAAATCCTTCCTACCTCTTCTCTAATTTTTTTAAGCATTCATATGAAGCACTAACAACTCTAATAAACTCTACCATTTTCATTTTCATTAATAACTTTGTTAACATTTTGCTTAGGGCAGTTTAATTCACAAACAATTCGGAAAGTTTTTCTTTTCAAATCAGGGACAACTTTTCTACTCGTGACAGGAGCATCGAATCTGAGTGATACTCCAAATTTTTAACGGTGAAGTCTCCGACTTCATTGGTTAAGCACTTTAATGTCGATATGGAAAAGTATCGTACAGGATAATTGAAATACGTGAAATACTGTCCATTGACTGCAATTATAAAAGCCGCATCACCGATACCAAACGCAATTTTAAACAGTTTTCCACGTGTGAACGGAAATTCACCATCCGTTTCTTCATCTTCAGCTGAAAAGCTAGAAGAAGAAGTATAGTCAGCCGGGTACTAAGTAGCGTATTTAAAGTTGGAATGTACAAACCTGTTATCGCTTCTTTGATAGGATCGAGTTACTGTTGTTTGATTGAAGTTAACATGAAATTTGAGCACCACTCGGCCAGAGTCATTACATTGAAAACATATGGAAAACTCAGTATTTGGTGGTCCTTTAGCTATGCACTCCATCACAACAACCGTGCCTGATTAATGATTTATTTTGATAAGAATTTACAAATTTGCGCGCGTTTGAATCAATACTTACCGGTTTCGTATTTTCTAGGTACATCACTTTGAAATGCAATTTTCTCTGAGCAAATTAAGCTTTTTGGAAATATTAAAGGATATAGCATTCTGTTATGAAATTGGGTTATCTTTTCAAAGTCTCCATAGACCATAACGTAATTAATCTGCTTGGGAAACTTGACGAACTCAAATGTGCCATACATATTGTCATTCACATAAATTTCGAAACATTTCTGCAGAACAGCGATCCGAAAGTTAAAGTTTTGACCTTTAAAAAAATTAGACAAAAATTAAAGTGTCATATTTTTGGAAGGATTCCTCTTTAGTAATAAGTTTCTAAAACAGAAAAAATTCAATTTATTTTCAAAAAGTTAGTGAAAACTGAAACACTTACAACATATAGAAAATCGGAGCGTAATTAAAAGAAAGCAAGTTTCTTAGAATGAACTAAAGGAGAGCAAATGATGGATATGTAGACATAAGGATAGTTTAAGACAAATATGGGATGGTGATGGTGGGAGCGTAATTAAAAGAAAGCAAGTTTCTTAGAATGAACCAAAGGAGAGCAAATGATGGATATGTAGACATAAGGATAGTCTAAGACAAATATGGGATGGTGACCCTCTAAATGCGTGACAGATGTAATATTTTATAATGAAAAAGTTCCCAAACAATAATCGTTGCCCCTTTAATTGTAAGAGAACATATTAACCTTTTTTTCATAATAAAATATTGATTTGAGTGAGTTAGTGGTCCCCAATATTCTTCCTTTGCCATGCCTAGTCTTTATACTAATTTGAACTATTTGTAAAACGAGTGCAGAAAGCGGTATTACTTTTATGCATTACTGAAGTATATACAACTGTTAGTTTTGTAGTTATAGTATCCAGCTGTAAAGAGGGGTTTTGAAAATACCTCGAGCTAAGAAAGAGTAAAAGTGCTCAAGTACACTGGCTCAAATAACTTCAACATAGCTATTGCATATATTGTCTTATAAAAATGCAACAAGTGATTGTTAACAGTAGTGAATCTAAAGTTGCAATCGACATTTTTATTGTAAGGGATTGTCCTTTGAATAGTGCTCTAAAGTTTTCTCTTTCAGCGTAATATTTTACTTAAATCAAGCTCCTTAATGTGATTTAGTACGTAATATTGTAGTTAAGATACATTTTAAATAAACATTTAATTTCTACATAAAGTTTTGTTATCTGAAAGTAAACAAGACATTTTGCCTAGTGAGACATAGGGCCGGACACTAAGAAAAAGAAACAGGACTTTCTAAAAATAGATATTTGTAGGGTGACAACCATCATTAATAACGTGGATTAGTCCTAACTCCTCTTTTTTCACATATTCAGCATCATGCACTTTCATCTTTTCTAAAATATGCATTTACCGACAAAATTCTTTTACCGATATCTTGAAAGACATTTTCGTCAGCGACTTTAATTAAAACACTTTAAGACTGTCCAAACTCCTAAATTATGATGGAAAGAGATTTATTTAAATAAAATAAATTGATTTTGAAAAGAATAAATAACATTATTTTAATTTAATATCAACTTATATATAATAAAATTTTTAAGATTTTTCCAATAATTTGTATATTCTTTCATAGTCCTTAATTTCGCTCACAAACACAGTGCTTTTAGAGACTACAACCTAAAACGCTTCAAAGTTTGCTTAGCACAATCAAAGGATAAATAGAGAATTATTGCGAGATTATTGACCGGTTACTGTAGATTGAATAATCACCTATCGCAGTTAGGAATTCAATCCAACTCAGACTGCAGATACTGCAGAGAAGACAGAGAAATGCTCAGCACTGATGTACAAGCGAAAGAAATACATAGGAGGGTATTTCATGGATCATTTGGATTCAAGACTAGCAAAGATAGTCTCTATACAGTCTTTCATTAAAGAAATTGGACTTGAAGAAACACTCTAATCCGACTAAGGGGCACAATAGATATTTTAGGTCACAGTGCAGAATTCAGCTTTTTGTGGTTCCGACAAAGTTCGCTTAAGATTTATCATTATAAGAGTTCATTTAGTTTAACTTTTGCTATTGTCACTGTGGCAACTTTGAACCATCTATGGTTTTTCATTTGCTTGGAACACTACACCTTTGTTGAAATCGTTTATATTGCAACGGAACTAGGAAACAAATATCTAGTAATAATTTTTATTAAAGTAAAGTTTGAGAAATGGAAGTTGACACTATAAGTGAAAGCAATACGACAATATATCAGTGACGATTGCTCTAAGGTGCGGAGGTGTGCGGTGAACACCCTAACATAATTTGCAAAATGTCAAAGAACATAGGTATATAAATTTATTAGGTATCTTCACATCAAGAATTATTATTAATTATTACATTTCCATATACATATATATTTTTTAAAGTTTTAGCAAAAACAATTAAATATAATTGTCTATGAAAACTCAATCAATTTGCTTCTGTTAGCTGCTATCATAGAGTATATATACTCTTTGCTGCTATACTTGTTAGGTGTGCTCATATATTTGCAGCTCAAATCACAGAACATTTCTATTTTATTTCGTCTCTCCCCTTTGTGTGCAAAGAAGTTGGCAGCACATTCATACGTTGCATATGAACAAAATAATGTGCGTGTGCTCCCGTTCGTAATATCAGAGATAGAGATTTATATAGTGAGAATTGTATGAGAGTAATTTTCTGTTCTATTCGAATATCAACTGCATGCATACGAGTCCAACATTATGATTTGCCAAAGTAGTTGCATGAGCTGCTGAAGTTTGCAGCTCATCTCACCATACATTTCTATCACATTTCGTCTCTCCCCTTTTAACAGCAGCACCCACGAATTTCTGTTCTTATGGTGCGGGGTACTTGTGCGCACATTGCAAGTGGTTTCGATTTTGTTTGATCACTGCACAAACATGTATGTTTCTAAGTACAAACTCTCTTGTTTGAAAAAAGTTGGTTTGATGTTACGAGAATTATGTGAAATGTTTTGTTTCTTCCATATTGATATAATATTAAACTTATATATAAATTATTAATTTAATTTGTTTAATATGTTATTTTGTTAATGAATTGTTAATATAATATTGCGAATATATTGTTGCCTAATATAATATGGTTATTATTAATAAAACATCTCATATATTTTAATTTAAGTGGTACATGTAAAAAAAACATTAAAGAAGAGCCGCACACCCTTCCAAATAGGGCACGCGTCGTCACTGCAATATATATATATATTGAATCCTTTAACTCCCAGGAGGAGCATAGGACCGCATTCATATATGTTTAACAATTACAAATTTATTGTGCTGCTTTGATTGAAAGCGAATAGTCTAGTTCATTGAGAAAAACCACTGAACAACTACAAATTACATACTAAATAAATAGCTGAAACTGGTTTTGCTATGGATTTTATTATTGCCTCAATGCCCTTCTCTAGTGATATGTAGTGCACTATAAAAGCAGATATATTCATAAGGATTACTTTAAAGTATGTTAAAATCTAGGGTGATCACTAATGGTTTTGAACACGAGTAACAGACTCAAGAAATAACCTAAACTGGAAAAAATACATACCGCTGCAGTGGCGAAAGAATATAAAACTAGAAGTAGCATAGTTGAGATGAAAGTGTTCTAACCTGGCTCGATTGGGTTTTTCGGACTCTCACTTTTCCAATTTTTGGAAATTTCCTCCTGCTGCCAACCTTCTCCAGGCGAAAACATGCTTCTTATAATTTGATTCTCTCTAAAATTTGCTTCAATTTTTAGAAAAACTGTTTCGCTCTCGTTCTTTGCATTTATATTATCAGTTAGATCCAAGCAAATTCTGTGTGTCACAAAAAATTTTACACAATTAATGAAAGTGAATTTAATTTAAATATTTTAAAAAAATTGTTTGAAACTTTTAACTGAACTTGTTTGGATTGGGCTTGACTCTTCCACTTAAGATGAGCACGTGTCCGAATGGAACCTCCCACAAAACTTTGCCCTTCCAAATGTTCATCACGATTTGACTGTCGGGTTGCAACTGATTTTCAAGAATCGTTGGAACAAACTTTACGGAAAAGCACCCTCTGCATATTGCGCTTTTAACCCTTTAATTGCTTTCCTCAGAAAAAGTCAAGTGCTTAGCATGATTTTACCTCTGATAGATTTACATGCTAATCAATTTTTTCTTCTTCTTTTTATTTTTATTTTTTATTTATTGTTGTTGTTATAGCAGTTATTGTTATTGCCCTTTTGTTGCTGTTGTGCGGTATATTCCTTAAGTTATGAATTCAAGGAAATGTAACTTTCAAACTTTCTGAATATAAATGAAATGCACAATCGCACAAATTACAAAATGGATCAAACTGTCAGCCTGAAATGAAAATTTCGTTATAATTAAATGAATATATTATTCTATTTTTTGGTACAATAGCCCAGGTGCGGTTTGATTTTTTTAACTTGCGTTTCCCGATAAGTCTTACTCTGCTGTTTTTGCTGCCCCACTACACCTACAGACAATTTGTTTATAAAATAAGTTCTGTCCCTTAATATCCATTATTTGGTTTTTTAACTTTAATAGTCCTAATACTCCTCATGCTCTCTCCAAAAAGTTGAATCAAAAAGGCCGCTTGAAAAGTTTTTCTTGCTGTCGTTGTTCGTGCTACTGTTGCGTGTTTTTTGACAACTTTGGAGTGATGGTTAAAATTGATTCTCTGTCTAAACTTTTGCATTCCAGTTTCACAATTACTCGTCTTTGCTGTACTGGTTTCAGTCCTTGTTTTTGTTAGCGTCAAGTGCGGGTTGCAGACGTAGACATGCCAAATTTCTGTATGTAACTACATACCATATTCGCTCAAAATATGTTTGCATTTAGTTTTGTTCTATTTCCATAACTCTCATCTCACAATTCTTTTAAACAAGTTGAATATTTTGATTAAAGTTATGATTTCTGAGTCTTAAAGCTACAATTCTGAAATAGCACAATAAGCCTATTAAGCCGACCTTTGTCTACCCATCTGGTCTTCTATTTACCTATCTGTCTGTGTGTCCATCTATCCATTTGTTTTGCCTGTTTGTTCTATTCTGCTTGTTCTGTTTATTTTGTTCGTGCTGTCTATCCGTCTATTAATCCGTGTATCTATCCGTCTATCTATCTGTATGTCTATCTATCTGTTTACCGATCTAACTATCTATCTGTCTGTCTGTAAAACATCTATCCATCTATTTTACCTGTTTGGTTTATTCTGCCTGTTTTGTTTATTTTATCCGTGTTATATATCTGTCTGTCTATTCTTCTATCTATCAATGTGGCTATCTATATGTCTACCCATTTGTTCATCATTTTTACCTATTTGTCTGTCTTTTCGTTTCTCTGTCCATCTATCCGTCTATTTTGCCTGCCAGTTTTATTCTGTATGTTCAGTTTATTTTTCCCGTGCTGATACCGTCTATATATCCATCTATCTATCCATCTATCTATCCATCTATCTATTCGTCTATCTATCTGTCTGTCTACCCATCTGTTTATCTATTTACGTATCTGTTCTTCTGTTCGATATATTCTGTTTTGTTATTTTGTCTTTGCTGTCTATCATATTCGTTTTACCTGCCCTATCTGTACTATTTTTCCTGGTAATCTATCCTGTAGATCCTCTTCAAGACTTCAAAGTGGACATTTATTCGTTCCGGTTCCAAGCTAATATCCAAACAAAAATTCCAAACAAAAATGTTTTTATTGTTTTTCAGTTTAGTTTCGAATGAATATTTTTTATTCACTTATATATATTACATTTGTATCCGTCATGAATAACATAATCTTATTCATTCTTTTGAAAACTCATAGTTAACGAATTTATTCAGTAAAAAATGAAACTTTTCTTTTAATAAATAATTTTTTGACTTCTATTCCTTAAAATCTTGACAAATGAAGAGTAATACGCGTGAATTAGTTTTTATAGTTTGAAGCTATAGATTCTGTCTATTCTGTCTGTTCATCTCTCTTTAAGCCAATCTTGCCAAGAATAATAATTCTTTTCTAATGTAGATGTTTAAAATAGACAGTATTGCTTTGTTATCCACCAGATCCTTTGGTAGTACTTTGAATCAGTTTATGCCTTTTTATAGACACTTTTTAAAGGTATAAACTATATATTTTAAAATATTGAAATAGTTTAAGATTAGTGATGTTTCGTGCCCATCGTTTATTTTTCTTATTACGGCTAACAACTCTGCAGTGCGAATTATTATCGCTAGTTAAATAGGTACAAAGATTTGAAAAGAACTGCTTCTATTCTTAGGGACCAAGAGCCTATCATCTATAGAAGTCAATGTAACATACTGTTCTTAAAACGTTCCTAGATTGACCTGTTAATTGATTTCTGCAAAAGTTGTGGAGCTATGTTCTTCCGAGCTACGTTAGGTTTTCAACATTTTTCCGCATCATAAACATCTACTTTGCTTGACACGACAAGTGAAATTTACTTCTCGTGGCAGTGACACCTATTTATCTTGAGATGCTTTGATATGTGGATGACATCACTGTGTAAGCTATGTATAGGGTAAGGAAAAAATATTGTGTCTTATTGATGAATAATAATTCAATGCGTTGTTACCTTTATTTAGCTCAGTTCATCCTGATAATAAACAGATCGACTGTGGATCGTTTGGAAGAAGCAGCAGAAAGATTTTTGCAGAACTTATTATCTGTCACTTCAATCACGAATTTTTTCATTTCATTTAGTGTATGTGGGATATATTATAAAGATGTCATTTTAAATTGCGAGATTTTTATAATACTACTATATTTATAGATTTTAAGGTAAAATGCGGTTTTAGACTAGAAAGCTTTAAAGATTTCAAGATAGTTGACAATGACGAATATTAAGCATATTCAGAAAATAATATATAAGCTTTTCCACAGTATATACAACTGAGTATTTATAAAAGTTATATTCTGTTAAGAAGTATGGGGAAAATGGAATCACTAGACGAGTTAATACAATATAATACCAGTACGTAGTTTTGATTTCTAGTCCATATATTTTGGACATTTTTTGTTTGCACATTTGAATTTTATCAAGGAACGTTTACTTGGCACTTTGGTGATATAAAATTATTTTGAACTAAACATTTAAAAAAAAAAAACGTTTGTGATTGTTATTTTAAGAAACATTTTCAAATACCGTCAAGAAAATTTTTACTCAGGGCACCAAACAACATAGGCTCGACAGTAATTTGAAAGATTATAAAATTTAATTGAATACGAAATTAAAGAACACCCAATAATTTGTGTAAGGATCAATCTATTAAAGGCATTCTAGTTATAAAAAGTAATACTAAATTAAAGACATTATTCGAGTTAATAAAATGCTATTTTTGCAGCGCTTGTAGTGAAGACCGAGGGGTCTATGTGAATAGGGAACGCACAAGCGGATGTTTGCAAATCATTATTAGAGTTCAACAATGTACCAGCTGCCGAATTTACTAAACCGCATTTAACTCAATGGAGTTGATTTCGAATAATTATAATTACATGTTCGTTATGCTTTTCAATTAATAAAATACTATTTTTACGATATGAAATAATGAAAAAATTATATTAAAGGCATAGCAATGCTTGTCGAACTTTTGCTAGAACATTAAATATAAATATTGATTATGTATTCGTAAATCATTTTTCTCACTTATTAATCATAAATTTTATTTATTCTTATTTAGAGACATTTTTTCTGCAATATATTTAAATTTCTTTGCAAAAATTCCAAAGTTTTTCATTGCCAATTGACATGTCAAGCATATCATCCGATCCAAAACAACTGTGACAAGGCACGGGGGTGTGTTAAAAACCTGATCAACAGCAAGATAAATGTCCGTCCGGCTAGCGACAAAGATTGTATAGTCCCCAAAAAGTTAAAAAGAAGCGAAACTATCGATATTATCAACAACCGATTGAAAAACTAGTTGAAAATATTAACGTTTTTAGCCCTCTGAGAGATGTAATTAAGTTAGAGCAATATGCATTATAGCTAAAGGGTGAAGACATGTAAACAGAGTCAGAGTCTTGCAAACAAAAGATAGAACTGACTTATATTTCGACATATCTTCTATCTAAACCTTTATAGATATAGCTGTCTTAATAGTATTAAAAACTGTGGAATATTTTAACTCACTGCAAATACTTTTGAAGAATTCTAAACGAATATGTCTCTATTTTGAATAAAAATCATTGGTTAAATGAAGCAGAATATAAAATTTTGGACCTCACGAATACTTAGATATAGTATGTTTTACTTCAGCAGAATTCTCAATGAAAATATCACAATTTTGAATAAAATTCATAGGGGAGAAAAAGCAGAATATTAAATTTTGAACCTCTAGAAAAGTTCGAAACGGTTGACATGATATAGTAAGTTTTACTTCAACAGAATTCTCAACGAAAATATCACAATTTTGAATGGAATTTATGAGAGAGACAAATCAGAATATTAAATTTTGGACCTCTCGAAACGGATGACATGGTATAGTATGTCTTACTTCAGCAGAATTCTAAACAAGTATATCACTATTTTGAATGAAAATCATTGGGTAGTTGAAGCAGAATATGAAATTTTAGACCTCACGAATACTTAGATATAGTATGTTTTACTTCAGCAGAATTCTCAATGAAAATATCACAATTTTGAATAAAATTCATAGGGGAGAAAAAGCAGAATATTAAATTTTGAACCTCTAGAAAAGTTCGAAACGGTTGACATGATATAGTAAGTTTTACTTCAACAGAATTCTCAACGAAAATATCACAATTTTGAATGGAATTTATGAGAGAGACAAATCAGAATATTAAATTTTGGACCTCTCGAAACGGATGACATGGTATAGTATGTCTTACTTCAGCAGAATTCTAAACAAATATATCACAATTTTAAATGAAATGTAAGAGAAAGATGACCCAAAATCCAAAATTTTGAACCTCAAAAAAACTTGCAACAGATTACATGCTATTATAGTATGATTAAATTGAGAAATGAAAAAAATAAAATGAGAATAAAAAGTGAAAAAAAAGTCCAGATCTCCAGATGATAAAACTTCTTTAAACATACAAACAACAAACTATTTAATCTTAAGTAAATAAGATTAATTTAAATGAATAGAGTTGAACTAATTCCAATCTAACTTTATGATAATGTACTAAGGATCAAAAATCAAACTAATCAATGAGCTAAAACCGATCATGAAGCAGCGGATATTATATTAAAGATGTGAAGGTAGAAGAAAGAAGAAAGGAAGATAGTTAAACTAATTGCAATCTAACTTTATGATAATGTACTAAGGATCAGAAATGTTCAATATCGCATGATCCATCAATAAGAAATCAAACTAATCAATGAGCTAAAACCGATAATGAAGCAGCGGATGTTATATTGAAGTTTAGGATACGTTATACTGAAACATAAAAACATATTTACAGCTTCAAATCAAGTTATTCAGTTTATTCACAATTTAGTTGGCTTTGGGCCAGTTAGCTAATGAACACTAACTCTGAGCTTCAAATTTGGCAGGGCATGACTTCAACCCTTAGCACTTAAAGTCTCAAAAATTAATTTACGAATAATTAAATACAAGAAATAACTTCAAGACCATCTATGATGGATATTTGCCAATACTCAAAACAGCTGTATGATCAGCCAGAAATTTAATTAATTAAATAATAATATAAATTTTTGTTGTTCTATTTCACTATATTTCGAAACCTCTCCATTCACACTTTATTGAATAACCAAGTAATAAGCTACATTTTTATTGTAAATTTTTTAATTGAGAAACTAATTTAACTCGAGTTCTCATTCTCCAGTGAGGTGTAAAAAAATGTATCATTAACTGGAAGTAGAAAAAAAAAAATTAATTCAATTCTATTTCAATGTAAGTAGTTACGAAAACATACCACTTTTCATTGATTGAATAATTTAATTTAAATAATCATTAAAGTAAAGTATTTCATTTAAGAGACTTTTGTTTTGAAAAGTAATTTTAACGAAGTTTTGAGATAAGGAATTACTTTTAAAATTATTTTAATACGCTTAAATAGAAAAGTTAATCTGTTAGTACTTCAGCTTTTTCAAGCAATTGCTTTAAATATATTAAAAATTTATACATATAAAATAATTATATAAGCTAAATAAATAAAATAGAAAACATCTGTTTAATGTTTTAAAAATGAGAAAATATAATTGCCTTTTTAACTTGAGTGCGCACCGTATTCAGGGACTCGTTCCAGCAATTTCATTATATATTCGCATATTGTTAAATGCTCATATATCTAAGTTATTCACTGCTTTAACTTGAAGTTATATAAGCTCCACTTTGATGCATTGTAATGCACAAATTATCTTATATATATATATATATATATATATACATATTTGTAAAACTTGTACAATGAATATGTGACTATGTGTTCGCAGAGATATCTTTGCATATTTGCAAAATACAATACATTTTAACTATCGCTTCATTATTATTGCTTTTCATTGCTTTTGTTGATATATGTACTACCATCAGTTTTATAAATTGACGTTATTATCACACATTAAAAAATAATATTCTATTTTCATGGCATTGTTTCATTATCGAGTTCGTCAGTTCGTCAGAACTGCAACTTAGTTAAGTGTTACAAATTTCAAAAATGTTCTCATTACACATTGAATATAACATATGTGTAAAAGAAACGAACAATATACCATAAGTAATAATTAATATCACAATAATTACTTATATAGAGTTACATCTTTCGTGGTTTTTTGATGTGGCAACACTGTCACAGTGACAAATGTCAGATAAAACTTCCCCCCAAGCCATCATATCATCAATCTTAAGTCTGTTATTTTACAATATCGATCATTTAACGGCCGCTTAACATGCTTATTCCCACCTATGATAATCCATGTTTAAAAGGCTGATCCTATAATAATTAGTATAGTTTGCAGAATCGACGCTTTTGTGGATTTGACACAGCACACTTATAGTACATTCACACGGTCCCATTAAAGCACTTGATCATTTATATTAA